AAAAAAAAAAAACACTTTTGTGATTTCACTTGTTTTTCTCTCTCTCACTCCAGCCCCTGGACTTTGAAAAGAAACCGTCGTACACTGTGGAAATCCAGGTCCAGAACACACACATGGACCCGCGCTTCATGTCTGCAGGATCCAAAGATGTGGCCACAGTGAGGATTGCGGTGGAGGACATGGATGAGCCGCCCATGTTTGACAAGGCCAGTTATGTGATGGAGCTGAAAGAAGACGCTGAGGTGGGAGTGGCAGTGGGCTCCGTCAGCGCCGTGGACCCAGATGCAGCCCGCAGCATGGTCAAGTAAGGTTTTATAATAAATATGTGTGGCTTTTTGTTTGTGAAAACACCAAACATCAGGAATATTTGTGAGTTTAAGAAATAACGTTGTTGAAAAGGCAGAGAGGAGACAGAATAGAAAAGAATCTCAAGGACCAAAGGTTTCATCCAGCAGTTTGAGCAGACCCTTGAAATTCCTGCAGGGTTTGTTGAACGTACAGTTGAAAGGCCCCCACCCAGGAGTTGAGCTCTAGTTTTTCCATAGACTGGTTTTCTTCATACAGTCAGGTACTACAGTCAGGGGGCGCTATGAGTTAAAGAATGATGATTCTGGAACAGAGGGTTCTCCTGTGACTTAGTGACAGTCAGTTTAAAATATAGTAAAAATAATAAATCTGAACAAATGTTCAAAACCAAAACCCCACCCTGTTGTTGTGACCATGTGACACAGTGGTCTAATGGGCAGCCATCACTGCTGGACATTAGATGACCTGACTGTGACATCATCAGCAGGCTGCACTCTACTGCCCCCAGCTGACTGCAGCAGCCCCTGCCACCTCAGCCCAGCCTTCATGGGGTTCAAACTGAGTATAATCTTCCAAACACACTGCACCACCGGCCTGAAATAATGCTGCTGGAATATATAATTCACATTAAACCAATATTCAGTAAACACTGCTCCAGGTAAGTTTGGCACATTGTTTTTGCACACACACACACACACACACACACACACACCCTTGACGAATGTGTCTGTTTGCAAACATATTTTTTTTGTCACAAACGAGAGTGAAGTGCTGGCTCTGTTTAGCCCTGGGTGCTAGCCTGTAAACTGAGCTCATTTATTATTTAAAAAAAGGCTGAGTAGGTCGCAGCTGTGGGAGACAGTCTCCCCCACCTGACTCAGGATGAATAAAAATGTTGTCCCAGGGTTCTGCTGACATCATGTTACTGTAGAGATGAGGTGATTACAGAGTCCTTGGTCAGGGACGGACTCAGAGGACGTGTGTGTTTCTCACTTTCCTTCACCTCTCTGAGTTCCCAGTCTGGGTTTAATTGTCTTGTTGAGCACGCACATATGTTCCCTAAATAACATTTCTTTGGAATGACTTGGACCGCCCGTCTCCAGATGGCAAACAGACAATCAAATTTAAAACTCTACATATATTTGCATAACATCTTTATGGTCATATTTACCGACAGCAGCTCGAACCACGGAAAAAAAAAAAAAAACTTTTTCGAATCTGCATTTCTTTGGAATTTGTTGACTGACACGTATTCAGTACATCTACATAATCTGGTCAGTAATTGGCTGGCTCCCCTGCTGTTCTGATTTGTCCAAATTCATTAAGTGTGTTTGGATAGTGTTTCCATAAGTTTGTCGTATAAAAGTTACTTCTACAAAACAGAGTTTTTGCTGGAACATTGGAGAGGTATGATTTTCTTGGTTTGCCACGTTCCCAAAGCAGCGGACGGAAAATAATAATAATCATAAATACTTTTCTTAATTTGTCCAACAGTGGATTAAAGTAACACAGTATTTTTCTATAAATCCAACGTTTTAATTTAAGTTTAGTGAAATAGCGCCATCTTCAGAAGCCAGTCAGTTTTTCGTACTCGTAGTCCCAGACCACGCAGCGTGAGTTTGAATAAATTCAGAGTGAATAATTAATATTGACTCTGAATGTGTGACACTGCCTTTAAAACTGCTGGAACTGTAACGTTGCTGTTAAAGGATCAGTTTATATATTATATTATATTATCTTATCTTATTGATGCTAGTGTTGTGGTGTTTTGTGCTATAATATATACACTATTATATTAATATATTAACAAAGTAACATCAATGTAATAATGTGTTTGCTACACAAACCAAAGTGTTGAATTAAGTTAAAAAGGATGACAATCTTTTCATCATGTCTCGTTCATGTTGCTCCACCACTGTAGTAGTGACAGACTGTTATATATTTTTATTTCTCGTACACCACCGTGCTCCCTCTGAACAGGGAACCGTTGTTCCATATCAGCCGTGGGATGATTCTCTCACGGCTGCTGAGGAGTTCTGATAAGAGCCCAGGAAATGCAGGACGCAGGAGACAAATGTGGTTCCTCCTAGAAGGTGTGCGATAACGGGCCGACTGTTGAGATTGTGAACGGCGCCACCTGTGGTTGAACACGGGCAGAGGAAAAACAACAACAACAACAACCCTGTACTGAGCTGCAGACACGGGCGGCGTCCGAGGAACGCAGCTCCGCCGCGGCGCGGTTCATCATTGGCGCCTGACGTCGCGGCTCTTTGAGCGCCGCTTGTATCTTGTTCCTAATTGTCCGTTTCTCCAACGGCGTCTGTACGTACTGGGAGTTTTCGGATGTTTACAAAACCAAAAGCCTTAAGGCCCACAGTAATTTGCTCTGCTGCAGTGGGTATTGATCAGGTGTTACAAGACTGTTAAGATAAGTGGAAACTTTAGTGATCTCAGAAGGGGATTTGAGCTATTAGCACAAACAAATAAATAACAGGAGACAGCCATGAAATAAAGAAGTCACCGAGAGAATGAAGCCATACGGATATGGAGAGAAAAAAAATATATAAATAGTTTTAAACCATCTTACTATAGTATTCCACTATGGTACCCAACTAGGACACACAAGAAAACATCTGGGTCGTGGACCGCTGCTGGGGCCTGTTCCTCACCTGTGACATTGTCAAAGGATGTTGTTGGAAACCCCATTTGAACTCATCTGATGAAAACAGCAGCGCTCCTTCTGTATTTCTGTCTAGTATTCTTGAGGACGTCTTTCACTCTCGATCACAAACTGCTTTTTTGCCTCGTCCAAGGACTGAAATTGAATACCTTTCAAGTGTTCTTTTAGTTTCAGGGAAAGAAAAGAAATCAGGTTTCCATTCAAGATTAGTTATAAATTGATTTTTTTTTTCAGTAGTTAAATTCAGCAAGTCCAAACAGTTTTAGCCGAGGGAAAGGATTCAAAGGAGGCCACCTAGTGACAAGAGCTTTATTTCTTTCTTTTTTCAAATTCACCAGTACAAATGATCTGCAGGTCTCCAAACAAATTCAGCAGCTGGAGATTTTACAAAAGCAAATTAAAAAAAATGTTTTGCTTTAAAGAAGTAAAACTTTAATGCTTTGATAAATTCAAAAATAACCAATAATTTATACAAATCAAAGAAGAGGTTTACAGTCTGGGTGCCAGCCTTAAATTGACTTTTACTTTTTGCTGAACACAGTCATGTAAACCCAGGGTCAGTCGGAGGAAACGGTCATGTTGAACACACGAGTGTTTGAAGCCTGGGAACTGATAAGGAACATATTCCAATTAAAACAGGCACAGGACCACGGAGTGTCACACTGACACACACACACACACACAGCACATCTGAGTGTGTGACTGGATGGTGGATCCAGGCTGTGTCAGTGAACTACTATTTTACTGTTGAGTGCTCCCTAATTACAACCAGACCAAGACGTATAGAAGCAGTGTTGTGTTTGTTTTTTCTTATTATTTCAAATTCATACTCATCTGACTCATTGAAATTAAGTAATGAACAATTTAAAAAAAAAAAAATCCCGACAACATAATTACATGCTGTGGAAACTGTGATGTTGAACTGTTGAGCGTCATCCAGGCGCTGAGGACGTTCACGTACGCTGCTGTGTATGAAGTTCCTGTTCACGAAGCAGTTTGGCTTCACTTTGACAGGCGGCGGGAGGGGAGGGGTCAAAGGCATCTCTCACTTCTATTATCTGCGGAGTGCTGTGAAGCTGTGAACAGCTGCATTCAGCGTGTAGTTCAAAAAATAGAGATGGCTCTGAGACGAGTCCACAGACAGAGGCAGCGATTCTCAAGTCACTGTAATGATTTGAACACGCTGTGGTGAGAGTTAATATGAAGAAGGCAGCGCACATGTGGGCTGGGCATCCTAGACTCAAATATTACCCAGAAACCCACGCTCTCTGCCTCCCATGTACGACCATAGTGAATCTTTCTTCTTCCCCCTTCTCTCTCTGACTAAAGGCGTGGACTCTTTCAACTTTTAACTGAAGCTAAAGCTAATTTGTCAATATACAGATACATATTTCAATCCCGGATGTACCTCGCCCTCGCGTGATGGCTTCTGGGTTTAGCTTGAGCCAAGCGTTCTTAATCAAAGTCTTTTCTCATTTGTGTTTTCATATAACCAGTCAGAATAATATCAAGATACTGAGGTAATAAATAGATTACATTGAACACAAGGCACTTGGTCTATTTCTGAAACAAAGTGACAAAAAAGAAAGTACGACAAAATGAATGTGTTGCTGAGAAACGTCTAGTGAAGAAAGTTAAGGACCAAAAGTGTTTATTTCTTCTGCCCTGGTTGTTGTTTTTTTTAATAAACATTCTGTTTTGAGTGTCAGTGTGCTAGTGAAGATGTGGATTAATTAATGTGTCACTCATGTCACTGTAACATCAAAGTGGCTCCGTTATGTTGAGCTAATTATATTTCTTTGAAATGCGATGTTGAGATAATTATTTGTGGAACAAACACACCGTGAACACCTACACCAGACACTGATGTAAAAGGTTTGTTTACTGTTGGAATTACAGTTGGTTTGTTGAAGGATTCAAGGAGTTTTCATAAGGTCAGTATTTGAGCTAACTGTTAACTAGCTTAGCCTGAGGACAGACGAGCTCGTGTGGTCATGGTCTGCTGACCTCTGCAGGAGGAATTCACAATCATGTCGTCTGACTTTGAGGCATTTTACTTTGGTTGTTGCAGTGGCGCCCCCGAGGGGTTAGCACACCCACTGGCCGTCCCAGAGCATCAGCCCTCATTTCCTCCTCCTTGACCCCACACTGAGCTGCTGACTGTATAAGGAAGGACACATTGTCTTTAAAATGAAAAGGAGTCAAGGATGCAGGCTAGGAAACACCACACGGGGGGGTGTGATGCCCGTGACCTCATGACCCTGGATATTCAACTACACCTGTGAATTTTTTTTTTTTTAAAGATCTTCAGTGTGTGAGGCCTCACCCTGCAGTGTATATTTGGGTTGTTGCAGCTCGCTCTTGTTGTTTCTACGTTCTAGCTCGCTCCCTGACTTTCTGTCAGAGAAATGACTGACTCTTCTGTGTCGACTTCTACCTGATGTAGTCCAAACAACCAGACGTCTCTTTGCAGGCCACCCCTCCCAGGATCATCTAGCCTCCTCACATTCTTGCCATATTTTTCATTTCAGGTACTCCATCGACCGCCGCACCGACATGGACCGCCTCTTCAACATCCATCCAGGGAATGGATCTGTGTTCCTGCTCAAACGTCTGGACAGAGAGGAGGCAGCCTGGCACAACATCTCT